AAGGCCAGGATATCTTACAGAATACATGTGAATTTTGCAGTCACTCCCAGTGAGTGAGAGTGAGTGAGAAGGGGGGGGGTCACTGGTTTCTCTTCATGGCTAGATGTCTTTGTTTGAGTTTTTTTCTTTCTTTTTTATTATTCTAAGAAATGTCATAAGAAAGCTCAAAGGATTTCATGATGTTTTGTGGTCAGTTTTTCCCAGAAGAAAACCTAGTAACCAATAGTTACACACTGCCAATTCAGTTCCCGTGTACGGTGACCTTTGTTAGGGTTCCTGCAGTACTCAAGAAGACAGTAGTTTACCATTCCCTTCTTCTGGGGGCACTTAAGGAATTTGCAGTTTGCCCAAGACTGCACAGGCTGGCTCTTCTCTAGGGAAGCACAGTGGAGATCTGAACGTCACACCTCTGGCTCAGCCTAACTCCCTGAGCTGTATCTGTACAGAATCACCACAATTCCTGCAAACTGTCACAAGTCCTTCTTATGTAAGATGCTCTAGAAAGACCACTGAGCTGTGCAGAATCTGGCAGTCCTGTGTTCAAAAGAGCAGTAAAATGGGGCTGAGGTGAGGAGAAATCAGTCTGAAAGACTCATTTTTCACAGGAAGCCATGATACCTTGTTGGTGCAGGGAGAAATCTTAGTGAGGAGTCTTGATGTGGGTGCAACTCAGAGTATAACAGATTTTTTTGGAATTCTCACACATCCTTCATGCCCACTGTGGTATAGTGGATAGACTAGACCTGGTGTTACCTGGGTTTGAATCTTGCTTGGCAAGGGAAACTGACAGGGGATGGGTTGTGTGGAACTGGTAAAATTACTCTTTAATTTACTCACTTGCTTTAACTGCCTTATTTGGATTGCTGACTTAGCAGCACATAATAAACACACACACACACACACACACACACCCTAAACTTTCTAACAATATAACACACACACACACACACACACACCTACTCTAAACTTTCTAACAATATAAAAAACCACTGTATTAGATTAAGATTGCTACTGCCTTAGAGTGCAAAGTGATGCAGATTTACTCAGAAGCAACTCCTTTTTTATTCTTCTTCCTGTGCACAAAATTATTAATTTGTTGATTTACAGATTAATTAATTTATTATTTACAGTGGTGCCTCGCTAGACAGTTACCCCGCATGACAGTTTTTTCGCTAGACATTGGCTTTTTGCGATTGCTATAGCGATTCGCAAAACAGTGACTCCTATGGGGGAATTTTGCTGGACAATGTTTGGTCCCTGCTTCGCAAACCGATTTTCGCTAGACGATGATTTTGACAGCTCCCTCCGCGCTCGCAAACAGGTGTTTTCAGGACCTAAGCTTCACAAGACAGCGATTTAAACAGCTGGTTGGCGGTTTGCAAAGTGGCATTCCTATGGCCGATCTTCACTAGACAACGACGATTCTTCCCCATTGGAACACATTAAACAGGTTTCAATGCATTCCAATGGGGAAATGCTTTTCACTAGACAATGATTTCGCTAAACAGCGATTTCAGTGGAACGGATTATCATTGTCTAGCGAGGCACCACTGTAATTATATATAGTCTTGTTTTTGCATATATTTTATTTATTTTACTCTAAACATATTTACTTGCTTTCAAGTAAAGTATGTATTTGTGAAGTTACTGTATGTGAAGACAGGGAGATTTAGAATTGTGCTGCTAGACTTTTTTAATTGTATAAACTGTTATATGAATGGCTGCCTTAGTCTGAACAACGTGGTGTTATTCTATTTCTTTGCCACTTGCTTTTTTAAAAAAAGGAATGGCACAGATGTGAAGAGTTCAAGACTGTCTGTATAATAGCCTTCCAATATTCCCCTTTCATTGGAAAGTGTTGGATACAAAATATTTGACTACAGCAATCTGCTCCTTCCTTGTCAGACCAGATTATGTCCCTAGGGGCCCCCGTGAAAACTAAGGGTAATGCTTCAGTCCTGAGTCTGTGTCAAATGGAGGATGTCAAAAAAGATCTTGAAACTGTACACTAAAAAACCAGGAGAAGGCTGTGTAGTTGTGGAAACAATGCAAATGCCGGGGTGGGCTATACCTTTAATCAACCATTAAGAAGAATATATATCGAGTTCCTGTGGGTAGTTCCAAACTTATCTGTTGTTATTAATGTCCCAAAGTCACATGGCTGATGGTGTAGAGAGGCCAGGTTAGCTTCTTAGATGGAAACAGCTGCAGCATGCATATTGATTTTGAGCTCCTCCTCAGCTAGCAGTTTGGAACTTATGGCCCATCTCTTAAAACAGAGGGACAGTCACAGACCACCTTCCCCTCCCCCCTTTTCCCCCTTCTGCCTTTTTGAAATTTGAAGAGTTTCGTTTTAGCTGGAGGAGGGAAGCCTGCCAAGTGGCATGGCCTGCCTGTATCAGAGTCGGGATTGGGAATTTAGTGAAACCACCAGGAACAGTCAATTGAAACCAGATCAAAGCCAAATAAAGAGTTTTACCTGGTGGATGCTTTCTTTAGCATGCAGTACTGCTTGTTTGGTGTCAAGAGTTCATGGTATCTGAGAACTCACATTGGTCTTCAGTTGATGCCCTGGTCGGCATTCCGTGGTCTCTTATAGTTCAGGAAAAATCAGGAAAAGGTCGCGGAAACAATACAAAGTTTCTTTTTTGCTCTCCTACCCATGTTTGTTTTTAAATAACAAGTTTAAATAACAAGATGACAGTATCAGGCCTGCAGGATCAGAAGGACTGAGCATAAAGAGATTTGCTGCTGCTGAGGAGGGCAGAAGCTGTTGCATGGAAAAGACTGGCTACTACTGATGTGAATCTAAAGGGGGGGATCCTGATGCAGCTCAGCTACACCTCTTGGGCTTCTTGCCCACCCCAATGCTCAAAGTCTTCGATCCCTCCAGCCCCCATCTGGTGACAAATTCTGAGTCACTGGACTTATCTGTACAAAGATTTTCCAGATGTATCCAAGCCAGGCACAGGGCTAGAGCACATGTGACTTCTTCCTGCTGTCCCCTCCCCAGGGAGGCATGCCACTTAAAAGAGGAAGGGCGTAAGTCTGCCTGTGACCATTGCTTCTCAAATGCTGCCACCTTCAGCACAAAATGGGCTGGGTTGGAGAGCTGGAGAAAGTTTGCAACCATCCGTGTTACCACTCATGTCTCTCCTTCATATGGTAAGGTTACATAAACAGGTCCAGCTAACATCTAACACGTAATGCAGGGTTTTAAGGTTGAATAAGGTTTAAACAGAGTTACACTCCTATTGCTGAAAAACCTGAGTTAGTGCATCCATTTATTTCTAACTGTGGATTAATTATTTGCGTGAAATGCCTTCAATTAATTGGTGAGATTTTAGCATAGCAAAAAGTTA